ATCTATCTATCTATCTATCTATCTATCTATCTATCTATCTATCTATCTATCTATCTATCTATCTATCTATCTATCTATCTATCTATCTATCTATCTATCTATCTATCTTTACAATGGTGATAACAGAAATGCACTTAACTTAAATTATTCAAAGGAGGAGGGGCTCCCGATCTTAAAGTCACACACTTATATCGATCACATTGGTGTCTAGAAAGTGTTTACAGTCGGGTATAAGAACAATCCGAGTAACAAAAGACATTTTGTGTAATTATACAAAAATAGAAATACAGCCCGGTTACATGAATGCAAACAGTACTGGAATTTCAACAGTAAGAGAATGTACATCATGCTGTAAGTACTGCGTAAGTACATTAGTATCAGTAGTTTTTTTCTGGAGATCATGACTTATTTCACTTTGACAAATCTGTCTGACTCCTCGTTTCTGGAAGACTGAAGCCGAGCAGTTAAAAGAACCGAAGTGCAGTGTTCATAACTGATCGAACTGATGAACCAAGGTAGAGCCAAACAAATCAAGATTTGGAAAACTGCCTAAATTAACTTTAAATCCAGGAAGCACGACCGGTGTTCTGATAATGTTCCAACTCTAACGCTGTCTGTTTCTGTCACTCCATCACAAAAGTCTGAAAACAAATCATTTCTCATTTGTTTCTGCTTCTGTGCTACTTGGACAAAAACAAAGATGAAAGCGAGCCCTAAAAGGAAGCTTGAAGTGTCTGCTTTCACTAATGTTTTATTTTTCAAGGTGTTTCCAAAGTAATCAGCGACGACGGGATGAAACAAAGCTAACGCAGCTTAAAATCAATGATGCACGTGTAATGAATTTCCTACATTTTCGATGTGTGACTGAGCAGTGAACATTGTATGCATCTGATTTAACAAAGGGATGCATATAAGCACATTTGAGGCTCATAAGTCGTTTGTTTCAATTGGACTAAAGAATCACAGGGTAGGAGAATTTGAATGTTTTGTTGAAATGGCAGAGGGGGAATAGTCATGCAGCTGAAAAGGAGTCTCATCCAAAAGGTGCATTCCTGTTAGCGTTACATAAGAGATGTCAAGGCTGGCGTTGTAAACACTCCCCATGATGTTACGAGTTACTCATGCATGTTTTACTCCGCTGCAGTGAGATTGGTCTATAGAATCTCCAGAGGGTAAAACGTAACTCCTCCTGTTGGGGTCAGTGCATTCAGTCACCTTTTAACATATAAAGCTGCAGTGTATCAGCATCTAGCTTGTCTGTGAGTATCTGCAGGTAGAAATGGCTTTAAGAGTCTTGTAATGGAAAATAAAGAAGTGCACCCATAAGTGCACTTTACGATGATTCCCAAAATATGTTGATTAATAGAAAATGATATGAAGTAAAAAAAACAGTTTGGTTCCAGTATCCAGTACAAAGGTTTGTTTTTCAGGTTCTCTTGCAGTGAGCAGTGTGCCAGCTCCAGGCATGTCGCCTGTTTTCACATGAAAGAAGCTCAAAAGAGAAATATTCAGATTTCAGAGCGTGAGTGTATCATATACAGCAAATGCATTATTTGTCATACAATGAGGCTGTCATTGTGCAGGTCAGACCGGGTGTGTGTGTGGGTGTGTGTGTGGTAAAACGGAGCTCCTCTCTGTGAGTACTGTGTGGATTTGATGGGAGGAAAATGATGCAGCAGAGGGAGGTTTTTAGGCTCGGAGCAGAATGTTGTATACTTGTCATTTGTTTGTCGGTATTTACTGTCAGACATGCGTGAGCTGATGCTTTTATAGATCCTTACAGTTTTAGGATCACTGTAAATATTCTACTGTGTGCTATACACTTTGCAATATTGCTGATAATAATGTGTTTTAAACTATTATAAAGGGTTTTTGTAATGTTTGTACACTTCTTTCAGTACAAAAACTATCAGTACCGATTTAAAAGCGATGGCTCAGTGGTTAGCACTGTTGCCTCACAGCAAGAATGTCCTGGATTCAATCCCTGGTTGGACCTGGGGTCTTTCTGTGTGGAGTTTGCATGTTGTTCTCGTGCTAGCGTGGGATTTCTCCGGGTACTCCGGTTTCCTCCCACAGACCAAACACATGCATGTTAGGCTGCCTTCAGGCCCAGGCCTCCCTTGCAAAAGAGATCTGTGATCTCAATGGGATTTCTCTGGTTAAATAAAGGTTAATGAATAAATAAATCTATAAAGGAATACATAAATAAAGGAATATTGAAAGGCAGTGCAGTGTTTGGTGTTGATAGAACCAATCTTGTTGGAAAATGCTGCATGTTTTTTTACGACTGAGAGACTTGAGGAAGGAACCAAATGAAGGTGTACGAGCAAAGAGACAGGGGATGTGGAAACTAAAATTTTGTTACAGAAACTCATAAAAAAAAAAAATGGTGGAGCAACAATTGATCCAAAAACATAGAAGTCAAAATGGAAAACAACCCACAAAAGAAGAAAAAAAAAACAATCTGCAGCCACACAGTTATGCCAGTGAACGAGAAGCACGGATCGAAAAGAGAACAAAAGAAGGCAGGGTGCAGTTACACTGAGGAAGAATAAGGACTGGAAGAGTGTGGGTGGCTGATTAAAACATTAGTACCAGGAGTTTGAAGAGAGCACCTCTAACTGTTTAATGATGGCTGAAATAAGCTGAAGGAACTGAAAGTGAATTTTAAATGCTAAAAAAATTCAAAAAAACACTAGCTAAAAGCTAGAAGAACCAAACACCAAAAGTAGCAAAATACTAACTAAAAATGGTACAACACTAGCTAAATGCTAAAACGCTAAATGGCAGCTATAAGCAAAATGTAAAATTCGAGTATGTTGTTGTTTACTATTTTTATTTTGGACCTTGTAAATATTTTTTTCCACTTTTTGGTTCTTCAGTTTGTACCCGTTTTGCCTGCTTTAGTGTTATTTTGCGAGTCAAATAGGTTCTTCTCATCCGGAACATTTTGTTGCGCTGTTGACACTGTGTTGACCTGCACATGACAAATAAACAACATAACGTTAGCAAATGACTAGCTAAAAGCTAAAAGTAGCAAAAGAGTAACCAAAGGTTAAAAGCAGCATATGGAGACAAATAAAGAGCATTTATGTTGAACGAGATTTCAAAGAGACCTTTTGAAAGAAATGATGACAGAAATGAGTTTTTATGGGAACAATGTTTATAACGGTGGCACAGTTGGTAGAGCTGTTGTATCTCAGTAAGAAGGTTGTCGGATCAAATCCCAACCCGGAGACTTAATGGGTGGCATTTACATGTTCTCTAATTGTAAGTGTGTGTTTTCTCCAGGGTATTCCGGTTTCCTCCAACAGACCAAATGCATGCGTGAGTATGAGAGTGAATGGGTGTTTGTCTCTTTGTCTCCGTGTCCCCTTTGATGGACTGGAGACCTGTCCAGGGTGTCCCCTGCCGCTCTCACAGTGACTGCTGGACATGGGCACTAGTGTCATCCCCGTGACCTGAAAAGGAAGTAGTGGGTAAAAGATAATGGATGGATGGATGGATAATTTATTGTTGGATGTAACTGGGACCCTGCGTACATAATTTCGCTCCACCACATGTACCACATGAGGTGCGAATGACAATAAAGAAACTCTGACTCTGACTCTGACTCTGATAAGATAATAAAAATTGAAAATCATAGCACCCATTCCTTGAATGAGCTGAATAATTTAGTAAATGTTGGTTTAAATAGCACAAACTGTGCAGAAGTAGTTGTGTGTGTGTGTGTGTGTGTGTATGTATATGTATATATATATATATACATATATATATATATGTTTATGTATATATGTATATGTATATATATATATATATATAATATACACATATATATATATACATATATAT